TATATTGTTAACATGATAAGCGCTAGCACGATAATTTTCATTTCCAATGGCGAATGTCTGCCATTATAGTAAAGATGTTGCTCGAACAATCACACGGCCAAAATGTACAGTGGACATTCAGACTGCTGATGTAACCCTTTGAAATACATATTTCCATAAAATAGCGCCCTCTTCAGTGTTGCTTTCATCAAACCAGGTAGCGTAAAACAATATGCCATATTTCGCTCACTGCGGCATTTTGCATGACGTTTATTTTCACTGATTTTTGATGAGCCTGAGTTGAATGTAAAATATTAAAAAAAAATGTAGAAAGGCAGGCGATTTGGTTCGCTACATCCGGGAGAGTGGTCACATAAGCGCGATTTACAGCCAGACAGTGTTGTTGTTGTAACAATAAAACAGGACGTTTGTCAGTATTTCCGCCATTCAAGAAGGTAATTTACAGAACTCTCGAGTTATCTGACTTTCCCAGTACATTCATTTTCGACAAACAGCAGATTTCAATTTCTGTGACAGTGGATACACGTGTTTATAAACATATGAAAAAAGTACTTGACTATATTTTATTCTTTCATGTTAGAAGTCATGATACTCGTTTGCGTTTCACAATGCGATTACATTGACCTCTATATCCGGATAGCGTTTAGCCCAGCAAGCAAGATGCCTTATTGCAGTATACTCACATGTGTCGTCTGGCGTGATTTTTCTTACCCCGGCGTCACATTCCAAACGCCAGTGGAGCATCTCCATAGCCACGTTCGTTTTATGAAAACATAGGTAGATGGTATAGACCACTTTCCCGAAAGTAGCAAAATTGGGGTGCAAAAATACTACTGCTATGTCATGGCGGAAAATACAAACAAGTCAGTTTGTTGATAGTCGATAGAAGGGAATTTCATTTTTGTTACGTCGATTGGTACACCCCAAAACACAATATCACGCGTGCAAGTTTACGTTACACCCCAAAACGACATGCGCTTGCATGCGAAACGCCGTATCTTCGACTTCCGGGAAAGTGCTCTATGGAAACGGGTACACATATTCTGGAGTAAATTGACCACAGCTCTGGCGTTGGAACGATTTACAGTAACTTATAATTGACATTTTAACTTTGAACCAGCGACAGTTCGCAATTTACGTTACGTCATATCAAAGAAGGAGTGATTTGTTTTGGTGTCTTTTTACAAATAAAAATACACAATTAGTGGCGGTTATTACAAGTAATAAACTATTTCTATTATTTCGCGCCCTGTAGCGACCGTGTGCCCGAGACTCCGCTAACAGCGTTGGCTACCAAGCCACAAGATGCCGATAACTAGTAACGGTTCCGGCATTCTGATTAGTCAGTTACTTTCTCGTTGCTTGTTCTATTTCCCTTGGTTACCTAGAGCAGGGGTTACCTTTTACTCTCGAATGTTGGGCGAATAAAAAACTGTTTCTTTTGTTAACAATTTGCACAGGAACGACTTGTTTACAGACAGCGAATATTAGAATGTTTTCAAATTACGTCACTTAGACCCGCGAGATTGGGTCGGAATCCCGGCCGGGTCCAGTGGAACAATATGGCGATTACTCGTTACCTGCCGAACTCCGCACAGTTCGTTGCGCCTTACTTACGTTGTATCGTCACCGGAAGCGCCGAACTGCAGCGTCAATGCCTTACTTATCATCACTGCACAAAGCAGCTTTGCATAGAACTCATTTGCATATTCGAATATGTTCGAACTACAAGACCCTGTCGGTTAACAAAGTTAGGCGTAAGTCACTTGGTTATTTTAATCACTTCAATAAGATTGTTCACGCCCTGACTCCAAATTAAATGTTCAGTTTATTAGATTAAAATATACATGACTTGCGCTAGAAAAGTGGAATGCATTCCTAGATGCCAAAGCATTTAGATTATATAATTATACATGACTGACTTTATAAACTTATTAGAGCCTTTATGTTCTATTACTGTTCAAGCCAGAAATAATATTGAAATATTCACCAGAATACAAGATGAACGAAAATGTTAGGAAACCCCTTTCAGCGAAATAAGTCTTAAATGTTCCTTTCCCAACTATATACGTTAACAGAACGTTTTTTTTTTCTTCCCAGTTTTAGTGTATCACGTGCGCCATTTCACTACAAAAACATAACCTTTCAAAACATAGTCTACGGTAAAATGGTTCGTATTTACGTTTTTACTGAAGTCTGACATTAATAAATAGTTCGGATGTCACATACGTTTTTTTCCCCACTTTTTGTAGTTCGGTTTCAAATGAAACAACTGCGGAAAAATGACCGTGCGTAGTGAGGTGATTGACCACAAAATTGAAGGCTGTCTGTGGCAGAGGTACTATTGCGAAAAGCTCAACGACCTATGGGAAGGAGATTGGTTACATGCGTCCTACTTGACATTCGCAACGGACGCCGGGAACCAACGAACTAACAGCGTCAGTATTGTTTTGAACGTACCTCTAACGAGTGTGACGTCATCGCGGACTCCCCGGACTTCCAATAATATCTGCCGTATCCACGAGCCGTGGGCGAGGACATATACAGCTATACACGGAGTCACGAGTCCAAAATGACGTCCCATGAGTGAGGAATACCGGGAGATTATAAACTAGTATTTAACATATTCGTAGGCGCTGTCCCCCCGGCGTAGATAGATTTCAAGTAGGACTTGCCAAATATAGATTTGTAAACATTTAGCATAACTCAGCGTTTTAACTAGGAGCGTTATGTACAAGGTATTACAGCACTAACATCGCCACGGTCCGTACCACAGGTCTGTTCGTCTTGAAAATGTTTGTATCACCGTTTCTTTTCTATGCAAGCAATTCAGCTGCTAAGTTTAATGAAATTCCAATTACATGCTACCACGTGTTTGTGTGCGATTTCATGTTGTCAATATTTACGTTGGAGCAAACAAAGGTGATTTGTACGAACTATCGTCTCGTAAAAAATATACCAACCAACCGCCGGCGAACTGGCACATACGCCGCGGGAGAGACGATTGTGGGAGTTAACGGCACGGTATACAGAAATGAACAAAACGGTACGGCTCTGTGAATATATAGATAGTGATAAATAGTCTCTTTTGGGTTGTATACCCCACATTTTGAGCACGGTTCGAAACATCACCATCTTGTTTGAAGTGACCGTTAGGCCAGACTTTTTTTATTCCTTGTTTCTCGAGTTTTTATAAGTCAATTTTTTTTGAGGAGGGCGGAAAAAAAATAAAATTAATTCTTTTTTTCATTAGATTTGTGCGATTCTCAAAGAATTGTAAGTGAGGTCATTGATCGGAGAGAAGATTGAAATAACATTTGATTCCATGTATAACCTTGTTTCTCATCTGCGCGAGATTTCGGTACTTTGATCATTATACTCCCACGAAAATGAAACTTGGGTTTGTTATGCGGCGGGCTGACAAAAATGAAGATAAAAATAAGTCTTTTTAGCAATTTTTTGTACTTACAAGTCGACGGACGCGAGAAATTACGCTGAAATAATAATTTATTTTTATTTCATTTTCGGCTCCTGTTCATTCGGCGGATTCGCGAAACAAGGGATAATAAAAGCCTTACCGAACGAAGATGACAACAAAACGCCCCCGAATATAATATAATAACTTGAGACGGCCCCTTGTCATATACATATTTCCTGAGTACATCACGTCTCTCATAACACACACAAAGCAAAGGTCGCAAACGTACGCCGAACTGTTCAACTTGGCGACACAACATAGTTTCTCATCCGAGTTGAAAACTGAAACTTAAAGGTAATCTCCAGCTGGCCGCGATAGAGAATAACCTTGTCTGACCTCTCATTTGTCGATTCAGAACTTC